CGTCTGGAGCCCTCGCGCCGGTTATCTCTAACCTCCCGGTTTGGGGAGGGAGGGGAAAAGCCGGGCTCTCCCCCTCCTTGTCGTTTCCCCTTTCCTATCCTTTTTAAAATAAAAATCCTTCCTCGCGTTCTGGGACCGGAGACGCGGGCGACGCGGCTGCGCTTCGGGTTGCTGGAGCGGCGGGGACTGAAAGGTGATGAATGTTTTATGGGATCATGTGGTTTGACGTGAGAGGAATCGGCCTACATCGGATTTACTGGCTGGAAGAGGGAGGGGAGGGGAGGGGAAGGAGGGGAGAGAGGGAGGGAGGGAGTGGCCGCCGTGCGCGCTGGCGAGGGAGCGCCTGACACAAGCGGTGCCCTCTGCGCCCTGGAAGGGGGACCCTGGAAGCTCCCCGGGCCGGCCTGGGGGACAGCGGGTACCCAAGCGACCTCTTTTCCTTCAGGATCGACGCCCACAGAGCATCCACCCCTCAGCTCGGGGCCCCAGGAGCCCGGCATCAACCCTTCTCCAAGGAGAGAGAGGGAGAGATCGCCTCCAAAGCGCGCAGCATTTGGGGACTGGTGAAACAGGCAGAGGGTCGGGCTTCGGGAAGAAGTAGAAGCGGATGAGGGAGCCGAGAGGATGCTCCTGTGCCTCCCCTCCACACACACACACACACACACACCGGCAAATACTCCACCGTCCCGCGGGAGAAAGGAAGAAGAGAGCCGAGAAGAGGCTGCAGTATGCCAGGACCGGCTCCTCCGGACGGCGGGATCCTCCGCGGGAGCGCCGGCCGTTCATTCCTGAACCGACGGTGCCACCTAAAGGAGACGGCGAGGAGAGCGCCGCTGGACGGGAAGGGGCTCCCAGGCGTACGGTCGGGGACCTGAGACGGAAGAGTCACCCTCTTCGGGGAAGAGGTGCGCTCATGGCCCGACCTGGGTGACTCCGGAGCCGGACACACACCTTCCTGTGTGGCTTGGAGAACCCACCCCAAGCCTTTTCTCTCTCTCTTTTTGGAGCAGCGCACCTGGAATGACCGCTGCCTTGGGGAGGAATTCACACCCTCCTTTGGGGAATGCGTGTCTGAGGTCCCCGACCCCCACCTCCGTGGATCGGGACCGTCCCTTGGCGCAGGGCGGCCCAGATTTGGAAGGCGCGCGTAAAAAGGCTTCCTTCTCTGCGGGCTAGCGCGCGGGGAGGTCGCCTGCGTCGGAGCGACGCCAAGGACTGAAAACAGAAGCCAGGCCCGGCCCTTGGTCTTTCTGTTGTAACACCCGGGTCGGGTTTCCTCCCCTCCTTTTCTCTCTCCTCGGCCGTCTTCGGAGGACCCCGGTTGGAATGCTCTCCCTGCCAATCGCCCAAATCGGGCCACCGAACATTTCCAGACCGTGCCAATGCCCGGGTATATGGCTGGCCGCCTTTGGGAATAGAGGCGCGTGGCTTGAGATCGAAACGGGGTGCAAGCGCCTCCTTTCAGTGAGAAAAGAAGAGGGCAACACCGCAGGGGCTGTATTCGGAGCCACAGAGCTCTCCAATGACATGCTGTTGTTTGCACTACAATTAGACCGGTTTGGGGTGGTTGTTTTTTGCGTCCTTGAAAATCTTAGACCTGCAGAGCTGGAAGGGGGACCCTCTGGATCATCCAGTCCAGCCCCTGTCAAGGAAGCACAGTGGGGGGAATCGAACTCCCAACCTCTGGCTTCGCAGTCAGAGACCTCAAACCCCTGGGCTAACCAGCAGTAAAATGAGGACACACACAGAGAGAGAGAGATACAGGTCTCAGCCAGGCAGTTGAGAATGACCAGTATCCACTGGGATTTTTAAGGTCTGATTGTTGTACATCGTCCAGTCGTTTCTGATTCATAAGTTAAGGACTTCCCAAAGATCTCATTCTCAGCTAAGAGGCTTTGGCCTCCCTTACTGTGTCGGTCCACCTCGTCTTAAATCTAGCTCTTCTACTATCTTCAGCTTTTTCCTAGCACTATTGTCTTTTTCCAGGGACTCTCTCAGAGACACACCTTAACATGGCCAGCTGGACGGAGTGTGCCAGCGAAGCTGAGAACAACACTGCTGGGAAGCTATGCTCGGTGAAAATCCTGGATCCCAAATAGTGACACCCAAGGAGGTATGATCAGGGCTGAGAGAGACTAAGAGGACCCCGTCCTCTTTGGAAATGAATGGTGGCCTCAGCAAAAGAGAAGGGGGTCCCTGGAGAAGTCTTGGAAGGGTGGTGACAGGGCAGCAGCAGCAATGGAAGGTGATACGGGGCAGAGTATCTTTCACAGACAACAGCAGCAGCACTCATGCTAACTCTTGTTAGTACTGCATGGTACTGCACAATGGTAGAGACCGGCTGAATGTGCTATAACTTGGAAATTTTATGGTGAGACAATCCCAAACGTTTTACACACTTCTTCTCATAATGCCAGTGCCCAGCTCTCTCCCAACCCCCTGTCTGAGCAATGAGAACACGTGAAGCTGGTACTTAATTCCAGGTGGCCAATCACAAAAGCCAAGGAAACAAAGAGGTGAAGCACATGATCTCGAACCTTTTGGGTCTTTCCATCTCACGTTAGGTCTTCCTCCTTCCCTTCTGCATTCAGCTTTCAGCCCATCAGGATTAGGAGTAGTGGGCTGTTGACACTTAGGAAATTCAAAACGAGCCTCTGCTTTATTCCCAAGGGTCTCGGGCTATGATGGAATGAGGCCCATCCGCTTGGGAAGCACATTCTTGTGGTTATGGGAAGGAGATGCTGGACATCATGGCTCTTTCGCTGCAGAGGAGTCCTGCAGCCACACGGCTAGGCAATTGGGTGCCAAGACTCAGATCTGTGTTGGACTTCTGTAGAGAAGCAGTTCTTTCAGGATCTCATCTTGGAGAAGGACCTGGAGGAGAGAACTTGCTAATAGCCACACCATGGAACTTTCTCTGCCAGTCAAAGGACAAAGAGCTGTGTAGCATTTATTTGTCTACTGTAGGTTCATTAGCGTTCCAAGATTCCAGATCACAACAAGCCTGAACACCTTCTGAATGCAAAAATGACTTGCACGTCATGAGACAGACAAGCCTGCTAGCAAAAGTGGGGTTCAGTAGGGAAAGAGGAAGCCTTAATGTGCAATGGAGTGACTCAGAAAAGAAAATCAGGGCTTTTAGTGCCCAAAATTTGAGCAAGGCTGTTACTACTATAATTTCTGAAGGTCATTGTTAATTTAAAGGGTCTCTGTTAACTTGGAAACAACTTGATGACTCTGAACAACCGTGGGTTGATTATAGCATGAGTTTTTGCAGAAATACAGGCCACTTCCTCAGATGTGTGAAATACTGTTTTACCTGGAGAGGAAGAGAGAGGGAGGGAGAAAGAGAGAGAAAGAATCAATACAGTAGGAAGTAAGAGTGAATTATCATTAACAGCTATACTTTCATTAATATGAACGTTCTTGCTTTAGTTGGCAAGGCAGAAATCCGTTATCTAATACTAAAGCTTCCCAAGAGAGCAGTTTTCAATTTTTCCTCTACTTTCTGCTGTGAGGGTACCACACATCACATCGGATGAGATGTCTTGCTTCAGTCCATGAATGCTTCCACCAAATAAAAATGGTTACCCTTTGAAGTGGTGCACAACTATTAAAAGGTAATTGCAAACTTCCGAATAGATGTCTATTTTTGAAACAACCCACAAGGTACACTGAACTATTAGGGTGAGCAAAGAGCTATTTGTTGATCCATGCGAAGGATTCTGAAGTCATGATCCCCATTCAAACCTTTGAAAGTAGACTGGAATTTGTCAAGGTATCTAAATCCACCAGTTTCTCATCTGGTCCCAGTTCCTTGTCAACTCCGAGTATCAGGTGCTGTTGAGAAATAAATGCTGGGCCATCATCCCATGCTTCCAAACAGCACTTACTTGATCATCAGTGAGAAGAGACTGGTGGTCTGGATGACCTTTTGGACTATGGTTCATTTGTTACTGCCTTTGGGGGGGGGTTTCTTCTCATTCCTGGGTTGGGTAACTGTCAATCTGTCCATCACTAACCAGTCATTTCCTTCTGCTTCTGGATTCAAAGAGAGCTGCACTTCTCTGCTCAGTGGTTCCCCCCCCCCCACTTTATAGTCTGCTGAAGTCTGTTGTTGAAAGCAGTCATGTTTATCCGTTTGCTGTTCGATCTGTTCATAACTGGAAGTGAAGAACCCTTCCTATTCTTTCTCCTAGTGGTATGTCAGAGTGAGTTATGGACTCAGTAAGTGCCAGTTGATGAGAAAAAGGGGCGGGCTGCTCTAGCGAAATTGAAGCTATTCTGCTCTGTGAATCCCTGCGCTTCTGCAGAATTGGGAGCGAGAGGAATTTAACCAACAATACAAAACTCTGCAGCACATGCTGGGTGTGAGGTCCCGGCCACAGCTTCTGCTTTGAACTCAGGATTCATGCTCCTCATTCCAACAAACTGCCAACACTCAAGCTACATGTCAGAAACCAGAGATGAGAAAGTTTACCTTCCAATCTCTCTCTCTCTCTCTCTGTCTCTCTCTGCATAGACGCCTTTCAGTAGATGTCTATAAGAGTGTGTAAACAAATGAAACAGCAAACTCTTGTCACCGAAGAATAAAGAGATGGTTTCATTTCCTGCATGTTAATTTGTTCAGACTGTCTTGTTTCTTCTCTCCACAACTAAGTGGGATGTAATTCAATCAATATTTTCTCTCTATCGCTTCCGGCAAGAGATATGGGCGGGCTGTGTGGTAC